CTGGACATGTCCAAACCACTGTCCCTCCTCTGGACATGTCCAAACCATCTCAGTCTGGTCTCTAACTTTATCTCCCAGTTCAACCTGTGCTCTCTGATGATCTCATTCCTGATCTTATCCATCCTCATCACTCCTGAGGAGAACCTCAACATCTTCATTTCTGCCACTTCCGGTTTTGTCTCCTGTCTTTTTGTCCATGTCTCCGTCTCCAGACCATACAACATAGCTGGTCTCACAACAGTTTTGTAAACTTTTCCTTTGACCTTCGCTGACACCCTTCAGTCTCAAATCACTCCTGAAACGTTTCTCCATCCTGCCTGGACTCTCTTCTTCACCTCTTTAAAACATTCTACATTTTCCTGGACAGTTGACCCCAAGAACTTGAAGTCTTTGGGGTCAACAAGTCCATGGTGTAACTCAACAAACAGCTCAGTAAAGAACATGAAAGTGCAGCCGTCAGGTGAAGAACCCACCTGTTGACGACCACCGGTGGACCCAAACTGTTCATGACTTCTTTGGTGGAACTGGTCTCAATAAAAACACGCAGCCAAAGTAATTTTCAAAAGGCATTTTCTGTTCTAAACATCTGTGGAGTTCCACCATGGACAATTTACAGTGGACCGTCTAATGGAGGGACACATGGGGACCATCTAGGGGACAAAGATTTGGACATTTCTCTTTTACTGGGATGTCAAGCTGGATCAGAGACAGGGTTAAAACAAAGAGGTCACCTGCGACCTTGATCTTTAACTCTTTGACCTTGAAATCAGTGGGGACCATCCTTGACCCATGAGACGTGAAGTTTGACATTTCTAGGACAGACGGACGGCGCCGTGATCCGACCCATCTCAGGACAGGCGTTTAACAAAAACTCTTTTGGCCATGGAGCAGAAGACAGCTGGGTACAAAGACCCAAACCGGGTTCTTGGTGATCCGTTCCTTTTTCATTTGTTCCAACCTTTATTTTCAATAAACCAGTTCAACCATTACATTCAACCTTGTTCTGTTCAGCTGAAGGTTGCTGCTCCTCACCTCTGTCCTGTTCTCAGACTCGAGCGGCTCAACATCAAACCAATTAACCGTTTGAGGCGGACATCTGGTGGTTGGAAAGTTCCGCTGAGTCCGCTCTCAGTCCGCCTGCTGGTTTCCTGCCAGTCCTCCAGAAGCCCAACCTGAAGGTCGGTCAAACCCCCACAGAACCGCCAAGTCCCTTAAAAAAAGCTTTTAATGACGCTGAACGTGCTGAACGTTAATAACTTCAGAGAATGGTCGCCCCGCAGCTACAGATTGCCTCTAAAAACAGGTTTAAGTGCTGCTCCAGCTCCCCGGCTTCACATTATTCTCCGATTCGTTTTTATAACGTGTTCCTCTCAGCCAGTTAACGACCCGACTCGGACCACAGGTTCCTGCGGATAACGACGGCCCCGGTCGGGCGTTTGGGTCTAAATAAGAGCCTTTCTGGTGCCGTGAAAACCAGAGAGTCGTCTATGGTTTGATGTGATTTACCGTCGCAGGTCGAGCTCCTCCTCACTGCCTCACCTGTACCTGTACCTGTACTGGGTGAGAGGGTTTCCTGCGTGATACAAATTCAAACAGTTCCTTTAAAGTTAAGAACAATGATGTTAAAAAGTTTAATTTTGAGGGTTATTTTTACAAGAACTTGTGCTTTATAACATATTTTACATCTACAGAAATGTATTCATGTTTAGGTTTTCAGGCATTTTTCTTTTACCTTCTTTGTTTCTGTATCTTATACGCAACTTATGGCAGTGCACGTGTGCTGTGCATGCATGGTGACTCCTCCTTGTTTGTTTTACCATCACACTGCCTGGAACTACAATGGAAATGAGCTCTAATGGATAAGCACGGCGTCCTGATAACTTACGGTCATTTTCATTAATTTCATTATCAAATACTTTTATTCTCTCACAAAGATTCGTGCCTAATCTTGAACAAAATACTGAGGTCAACACAAACTTTAGAAAAAAGTACCATTTTCACACACCTCCGTGTGACAAAAAACGGTGTCCAGAGATAAAAAAATCCCTTATCTTAAAAAAATAAAAAAGATTAGAAATAAACAATAAGGTAAAAGATAGAAGATATAAAATAAAAGATGACATGTGGTACACCAAGTTCCCTCTTCACTGATTAACCCGTCTAAATAAAGGTTGAATGAATGAATTTGAACAGTGAATGTTAGTAGTTTTGGTGATGAGTGTTTTTTCTGGACTGGAATCGAACAGGGAATGAGAGTAAACCTAAATGTTTTTGGTGAAAGATGTTCAAGTGGGCAGGAGTTACGCTGTCGAGGAACAGAGGGAGGTTTTTCTGCAGTGTGACGAATGAGTGAGTGGAGGACGCAATTTATTCACCACCAGGTGCAGTGGTGGTGCTAAGGGGTGGCCACTGGTGGCCTTGGCCAACATAGATTAATTTTTGGCCAACCCAATCATTTGAAGAAACTATACTTTTAAGCAATATATAGACTAGAAAGCGTAGTTTCCTCGGGGTGGCCAGTTTACATACGGTGGCGACCATTTTGGATTTAGACATGGCAACCCAGTTTTCAATAGGAACAATTCTTACACGTAGATGCAGCCACACACCAAAATGTAAGTCTTTACTTCAATTATTTATAAAGTCATCAAGCTCACAAGACAGACAGATGGATGGGGGGGTATTTCTAATCTAATTCCCCTTGTCGCTCTGCGATGGGGGACAAAAACTAGGGGGCCTACAAAATAAAATTAAAAAAATACAACTTCCAGCAGGTTTTTCGCCTCCAGACAAAGAAAACAGTCAAGATTTAACTCTTCATATTTGTACCTGTGTATGAATTATATCATTTCTCGTTTACTTTAATTCATCATTTCATGATGATGGGGAGGACGTGTTGAGTTCAAAAGTTTCAAATGGAAGACATATCGTTAATATCCGTGGTTTTGTCTCAGTGAGTCAGATTGGAGCCAGAATTCCCTCCACTGTTATTAAAACATGTTTATCTCTGTTTGTTTAATAGTGCATCGTTTTGTTTGAAGTATCATTGTTGCTCCTCTCAGAGGCAGAGGTCCAGTCTGAATCATATCAAACTTTCCAGCTGTCAATCGATGAGTCCTTTGTTTAATCATGCAGCAAATAACCAAGAGCCACACCTTCCTGCCCTCTTCAAAGCGACGCCACGGGGCCAGACTAACAGCTGCGATGCCTCATCTGAAGCAGACGGATGACTCAAACACGAAGCAGCGGTGTAAACAGAGCGGGCACAGAAAAGGTTTAATGTGGGCAGAAAAGAAGGAGACGACATACGAAGAACTACAAAGACGGGAGGAGGAAGGGCCACGCTGGCTCTTAGAGCAAAACATCAAACAGGAACAAGGACGCGGGACGAACAAAACAACGGAGCGCTTCTAAAATCTGTGATGCTATTCATCGGACAGCCTGTGCTCCCTGAGCAGCCATGCAGCAGACGGTGCCGTGTGATGGGGTCAGCACTTTAGCACCGCCGCGCCCACAAGAGACTGAGTGATGGGCAGACAGCGGAGAATAGACGAGGAGCAACGGTTTAGGTAAAGACTGGTTTTATTACTGGTGGAGCGCAGCACAGACGCCGGCCCGAGTGGGAGACTCGCCACGTGATGAAGCTTCTCTGCTCAGCCCCCCAGGTTTCTGATTAAAACTGAACGTTGCAGCAACTGAGTCTCATAAAGCTTCAAGACGGGAGGCGATAATGACATGAAACAGTCTGCAAGAAGCATGAATAATGAGAGAAGTTTAAACAATAAAAATGTTCATTTTATTGTTAAACGGTGCATCATTCAAATACGGGGGGGGGGTCACCTTTGTTGGCTCAGGGGTGAGTCAGTTGGTCGGTGGGTCAATTTGTCGGTTGATCAGGGTGTCGGTCAGTCAATCTGTGGGTCGGTCGATGAGCAGGTTAGTCAGTCAGGGAGTGAGTGAGCTGATCAGTGGGTTGGCCGGCATGTAACAAGCAGTACGCCGTGTCCCCCGTCGCTGAGGGATTTGAGGAAGGAATGTTTGTAGTTTTTAAGACGAGTGGTTTTCTGGACTTGAATTGAACAGAGAGAGAGAGTAAACTGAAATGTTTTTGGTAGAGGTGCACCGATAAGTCGGCTGGATGATTTATCGGCCCCAATTTCCTTAATTTGGGGAAATCAGCCGATACCTGCATGACGAACCCATTTTACAGATTTTTGTTTGTTTGTTTGTTTTAACAACAATTACCTGAACTTCATTTATATTTCAGAGCACTACCTCATGGCCAGTTAAAACAAGTTGTATTGTTTCCAGGATATTGTTCAAGGGTATGATTTTCAATAAAATATTGGAAAATGGAAGGTGCATTGTGACTTTATAACACCTGACAGCGTCACTAATAAAACAAAATCGGAATCGGCAGGTCAGACTTTTTAGAAATTGGTGATCGGCCAGAAAACTGCCATCGGTGCACCCATAGTTTTTGGAGCAAGATGTTCACGCGGGTAAGAGTTGCCCTGTGGAGAACAAGAGAGGTTTGTTTTTTTTCCCAATCTGAGTCAATGCAGAGTGACGGATGCTGGAAAGCGGAGGGAGCAATTTATCCAACACAAGATGGAATGGTGGAGCCAGGGGGTGGCCAATGGTGGCCTTGACCCCTCCACAGATCAATTCTTTGGCCACCACACAATCATTTGAGGAAACTACTTTTCAGCTATAAAAAAATGGAAGGCATGGCTTCCTAAATTAATCGGGGTGGCCAGTTTACATACATATGGTGGTGGCCATGTTGGATTTTCCATCGGAGCCTTTCTTACACCTAGATGCAGCCGAGACCAAGTCTCAAGTTATCATGATCACATCATGCACAGGTGGACGGAGGACAATAAATCAGGCTTGTGAAAAAGCTCCACAGGTGTCCAGACTGATGTTAAAGTTTAATGTTTGAAGGAACGTGTAATGAAACATCAGTATTTCAGCATTAGGGGGTATAGACAGCATCTGTTAATATTTAACACAAGCGAGGCATTTTCTTTGATGCACAACGTTGAAATGCAATAAGTTTTGTTTTGTACATTTTTAAAAGCTACACTTCAAGTTCTGTCCGGTTCATCAATTTCCATTTTTGTCACACAGATGTTGGTCTTTGCCATGCTGAAATTATAAAAATAACTCCACATATTTATGCACTGCAAGAGACAATAAGTTACTGAAATACAGAAAAACATTTCTTCTTCATATTATTGACATTAGAAACAGAACCAGTGGAAAATAAATGGCCTTAAAAGTGAAGAGGGTTGATGTTCTGCATCGTGCGGTTGTGAGCCGTTCGTTATAAATAAGCGTCTGGCAGATAAAACCATAGATTCACCTGAGATAACCTTCAAAACTTTAGAGAACCCTCGTAGAAAACTGGTAGAATAAAGAATATCAAAAAAGCTCAACCGTCAGCTTCTTGTCCCCACCTGATTTTGAGCTCGGAGTGAGTGGAGAGGTTGGAGGAGAGCTGCTGGATGAGTGAGAGCAGCACCGGCTGGCTGAGAGGGCAGGGCGTCTGACCAAAGACCTGCTGCGAGTCGATGGTCTCGCACGCGTACAGGACCAGGTTCAGGTCAGCCGCCGACAGAGCCTGAGGGAGGAGAGGCACGGAGGGGGTTATTCACAACTTACAGGAATCGGTTTAAACAGATCACCCTAAAGGTGAGAAGACTCGTTAAAGTCGTGACTCTAACTATCTGAAGTTTCCAAAACGTGAAGATTTTATGAAACATTTCAGCTAAAACTGGTTGTTCAAGCTGCTTGTGTGACAGAATCATCAATAAAAATACTGCAGGGTAAGCCGGTGAAAGTTCCAGTTGATATAAAACAAAGCAACAAGGCAAAAGGTGTAATGAAGCCTGCAGCCCACACAGGTCATTTGTTGAGACTGAATAAATGGTTCTGTAATGGGTTTTCTGGGCCTCTGAGCCCCATCGGTGTGCACAAGTGTCACTGTGCCTGCGCTCGTTAGCAGCCGGAGTGAGAGGTGTGCACCTGGTCCCATTACCTGCTGGAAGGCCTGGTTGAGCTGGCCCTGCTGGAGGAACTGCAGGATGTTGGCCTGCTGGGTCTGGTAGTCGAGGTGCGCCGTGGGGACGGGGGTTCCAGCTGCAGACCTCATGGCCTGCATGATGCTGGAGGTGACCACCGCCTGCTGCTCCTTCATGGCCTGGCTCACCTCCCCTTTGACGATCCGCTGCACGTGGCTGAGAATGGACTCCTGCAGACTGAGGAGGACACAACGTTATCCTTCAGACTCTGGATTAGAGTCAGGAAATAAAAGATTCAGTGGGAATAATTTAATATATAATATAATAATAATATATAATGTAATCGCATCTTGGTGTTAAAGTTTAAAATCATTCTGATCTTGTTTTTTTTATTTCAGGAGACCTTCTTTCACAATCTAAAGCTTTCAGGACAACCTGTGCTTTTTTTTCTTTTTATATATCAAAACATTCGGCTCATTCAGGAGATGGGTGAGCTGACTTTTTATTTTTTTACTTATATTTAAAAAAAAAAATTAAAATTTTTTGTTCAAAAATATTTTTTATACAGTGAGAGCTCTTCAGTTCCTTTAAAAACATTGATCTCTTAAATCCAATTCAGCAGACTCCTTTTAATACTTCAGCCACATTTAGTTTTTAGTTAGCATTTAGCTAATTTTAGCTAATGTTTTGCTCCTATTGGCTAGTATTTTTGCTACTTATAGTTTTGATACTCGAAGCTGGTGTTTTGCATGTATTAGCTAAATTGTGATACTTGTAGCCTTTAGCAAGCTTTTGGTACATGTAGCTACTCTTTAGCTACATTTAGTTTTTAGTTAGTATTTAGCTAATTTTAGCTAATGTTTTGCTCCTATTAGCTAGTATTTTTGCTACTTATAGTTTTGATACTTGAAGCTGGTGTTTTGCATGTATTAGCTAAATTGTGATAATTGTAGCCTTTAGCATGCTTTTGGTATATGTAGCTATTCTTTAGCTAAATTTAGTTTTTAGCTAGTGTTTGGCTACTTTTAGCTAATGTTTGGCTATTTCTAGCTTTTACTCCTATTAGTATCCTATTAGTTATATCTTGATTTACATTAGAATTAAGTAAAAAAGGGGCAGTTTTCATAAGACTAGTTCTTCTTCTGCCACCTTTCATTTTATTTAAATTTTTTTTTTTTTTTATATTGTATGTATATTTATGTGTAT